ATTTGAATTCATCACCAAAAGGCACATAAAAGGATTACGCGAATCAATGTAGGTTCAACTGTGCCTAATGGAATTGGAACCGAATTTTCTTAATAATTTTTTTTAATTATCAACTAAGAAATCAAGATTAGGTTCTTATAAATCTTGTCACTACCTGACTCCTTTCAACGTTCAAACGAAATCCCTTAAAATTAATTTGAATACAATCGTTCTAACCAGTACCATAACACATAAGTAACTTTCAGATTGTTGTGCTTTATTTATATTTATAACATTACATTCCAGTTAAGAATTGAATGCTTCATTTGTAAATTTATTGGGGTGTAAAAGCCTTGACCGAAGTACATTTTGTATGAAGCGCGGAAGCTCTTCATTCTAAAAATGTGCTCACGTTCAACGCTTTTACAACGCTATAAAATTACTAAAAGAAGCATTCAATACTTATAATTACATTTGTTTGCTAGGATCATGAAAAATTGATTTCTATCAAGTTTTTCTTTTATTTACCTTCGCACTTTATTGTGGAAGCTCGTGTGATCATGAATGTTACATTTCATTTTGAAATGAAGGTTGATTTCAGAATGACGCGAGATTGTTATTAGCCAATCAAAATAACGTATTATATTGAAATATACATGTAATGTTATTATTTAATGATATTGTGGGTTTTAACCGTGTTGTTTAAAAAATCAATTTCATTATTATGCAATATAGCAAGATATGCTGTTGGATGTAGCGGTAGCACCTTGACTTTATTTGATAGGAGAGCTGTATTGGGGAGATAAGAAAACTTTAGTCCCAATCGATGATGTCATAAGTATTACCTTTTGTTGCATTGCCTATCAATCTTAAATTGTCTTTTTAGATTTTTAGATACTGGTTTTTTAGAAATGCTTCTATTTTTTCAAACCAATTTCTTTTTTAAGGACGACGCGGAGGCTGTTCCTTTGTTGTTTTTGGTTTCTCAGTTTCTCGTATGTTTTTTTTTTTGTTTTTTCTTTTGTTTGTTTGATTTATTTTGTTTTGTTAATTTTATTGGATTTTTTTTTTGTGTCTGAATGAAGCCGGGAAGTTTTGGGGGAAGGAGTATGCCTATCAGAAAATATGACAATTAAAAAAAAAATGAAACGAAGTTGGTGTCAGCTAATTTTCGAGTACGTGCCTCGTTTTTAAGTGTCTTTATTAACAGAGAATATTCTGGGGTTTAATCTTTTTGAACCACTGATTTAACCTAATACCGATTGATTTGAATTCCTTATATTTCTTTATTACACATTAGATAATGATATATAACCGAAAATCAGTATACTACATTAAGTGCTTCCGGTGAACTCAGCCAAATCCAGTGGTATACCAAGCGTTATGAAAGGGTAATCAGCTACATTAGTGACATTGTTAGTATATATGTTATGACATAGTATACCTAAACTCAATGTATCATTAATACATGGCTTTTAAAGTATTTTGTAAAGACGTTTGTCTCAAGTTTATCCACTGGATTTTCGGAATTTTGGTTTTTAGTGCTTTTCAAATGTAATTAATTTTGCCGTTCAAATGTTTTGATTCGGGTACCACTGATGAGTTTTGTGTAGACGAATTGCGCATCTGACGTAACTTAGTTAGAAGTTAGTTTTGCACATAAAGCAAACAAAAATGTATTTTTCAAACTATTGCCACATTTAAGGCCAACGCAAACACTGTTCTTTTATTGTTTTGGTTTCTCAGTTTCTCATGTGTTTTTTGTATTGTATGGTTTATCTGATTTGTTTTGAGTTTTGCGTTTTTTATTTAATTTTTGTTTGTGGTGTGAGTGAAGCCGGGAGCTTTTGGAGGTCGGAGTATGCCTATCAGAAAATATGATAATAAAAAAAATTGAAACAAGGTTGGTGTCAGCAAATTTTTGCGTACAGGTTCGTATTTAGATATCTTCATTGATATAGAATATTCTGGGGTTTAACCTTTTTGATTTACTGATTTTACTTAATACCGATTGATTTGACTCATATGTACCTTAAGTAATGATATATAACCGAACATAAGTATACTACATTAAGTGCTTCGGGTTAACATGACTAATAACATACACTGCTTAAATTGTTGATCAATTAATAAAAAGAACATTAAGAAACAGAGGTTCTAGCTCCATCAGGCAAAGTTGACATTAGATGGATTGGGGTTTCTTTTTGTGGTCCCTATTTTTCATATACCGCCTCTCTTTTTGAAATACTAATACGTCATTATCAATTGTTTTGGTTTAAGCGTACCTGGTACAGGTTAATCAAGAATAAGATAAGGACGAAGCTAATTCAAAAGGTTTTACTTTCATAATACTGTTCTCCCATTGGATGAAATTTACACACTCAGCCAAATCCAGAGATATACCAAGTATTGCGAAAGGGTAATCAGCTCCATCAGTAACATCGTTAGTATATTTTATGACGAAGTATATCTAAACTCAATGTATAATTTATACTTGGCCTTTGAAAGCATTTTGTAAAGACGTTTGTCTCAAGTTTATCAACTGGATTTTCGGAATTTGGGTGTTCAATGCTTTTCAAATTCATAATTTTGTAATTGTTTTGGCCGTCCAAATGTTTTAATTTGGGCATGTGCAGTATTGAGGAGTTTTATGTAGACGATTTGCGCATCTGACGTAACTAAATTAGAAAAAAAGGTATCTTTGATGACAATGTTCCACCCTATGCTCTAATTAACATTTTAATAATTAAAAAGTAAAATGTTTAAGGTTCTTTATTGCGAATAGATTATAATAAAAGCTAGGAGGCGGTCTCCTGTATATAATTGACATGATAAAACTAATTTTCGGATACAATTTTGTTTAAGAAATGAAAGTTTTTTGACAAGATATATTTTTTTGTAGTTATCTGTAATAAATATCGCAAGAACTAAAAATATTTTATCATACATTCTATTTTATTATATTTTGAAAAATAGATGATAATTTCTTTTTAGATGTAATGTAAATTTGAATTTGCAAATACATGTATAGAGAAAAGTGAATATTATAACATTCAATAAACTATAGTTTTATAGCTTAAAGTACATTTTTCAAAGCTGCAATTCTTTTTTTTTCTCTGTCTCTCGCCGTGATATAACCTTTTTGTGCTGAGGCGGCGTAACGCAAACACCAATCAATATAATTCCTTTTACTAACTAATTGCTTGTGAGCCATATACACACTAAAATGTTCGTAATTGTCAAATTTGTTTTTTTCTGGGTATTTGTCTTCTGTGAATAAGTTCCGAGAACCATTGCGTACAGTTTAGAAAATTTGAAAAAAAAGAAAAGATAAACTGATTTGACATCAACAAATGTAGTCAATAATATTTACGGTACCAATTTTTCATATTTACATTATTTGTTCCAATTTTTTTCTGAGAAAATCGCGTGAACTCCAAAAGGAACGAGACCATATACGTCGACAGTATAGCATCTCCTGCTACGCATTATTATGCATCACCATGCTTAATAACACTCAGTCAGGAAAAGGACATACTCGACAAATTTACATATCATTCGACTTTTCTTGTATCGAAAGATCTAAGACGGCAAAAAGATGTCGCGAGTGAGGTGAACAACATAGTATAGTGTGCACATGCACGATCGAAACGTATTAACTGAGATACGTAACCACTATACAATGGTCAAGATATGTGTTACATCTGATAAATTATGGGTACTAAAAATTAAAAAAAAAAACAATCTGCTTTTCTTTTTGTTTTATGGAATATTCTGTATGAATATGACTCAAATGAGTACACAAGCAAGAGGATTGTAGTGCCATTATGTGTACAAAACTAGTACCAATTTGAAATACACACTGTGTAGTCGATCAAAAAGTCCATATTTTGATAATATTATCTTCTTTGTATTTGTTGTTGGACTTGTTCTTCACAAGTTAAGATTTTTCATTAACTAAAACAAGGAATTTGTACGTACGATACCTATTTCTATAGGAAATCACGTTTGGATGAGCAGATGTAGTTGATTTTTCAAGGCAATCGAGCCAGGGGAAAACAATTCTTTAATTTCTGCAAAATTGATAAGATTTTAATGGTAGAGAATGTTTAAAAAATCATATCTGATTGAAATCACTGGTTAAATAAACCTTGTCATGTTTTTTTCCTAAGGTTAATTTTTTCTGTGTGAAGTTACGATCTAATGTCTATTTGTTTCCTTTTAAATCATTTTAATTGTTGAAATGCTCTTGTAATACAGTCCCATCCAGTCTGATTCTTTAAATAATAATTGTATTAACTGAAAAAATATTTGAGTTATTGATAGAGTTAAACAATTACATGAATATATGGAATAAAACATTTGATTTTTTTCATACCTGAGCCATTATTTCCAAACATTCTAATTAAAACATAAGCAATAGTCAATATTGGATGGATTTTGAATTAAAAGAGTGATGGATTGGTTTCTAAAGGTGTCATTTAAAACAAACGCTGGATGATATTTCATGAACAAAAATTAATCAATAACATTATCAAATTGTAAGGAGAAATTCTATTAGAGAAGTAAATGAATACACATTTTCCTCGTATGTATTTAAATTTGCAATGTCAAATACCCAGAAAGTCAAAAGTGTCTTCAATGTTTTCCAGAGAGTATTTAGTTATAAAGTAATTTGAATCGTAACACTGCATACATGTATGTTTGAATAGATGGATGGATGGATGGGTTGGTTGATGAATGGATGGAAAGACGGAGAAATGTTTGAATTATTTCAAAGTTCTAATATTCATCAAATATTACTATTAAGAAATAAGGAGACGTGACTATATTGCCAACAAGGAAATGAAGTTTGTATTCCTGATGATGGAAAACGTTTTTCAAATTACACTTTATTTCTAAATGCTTTCGCTTATTTGTTGTTTTTTTTCCTATCATAAAAGAATTCACCAAGAAGACTTGATTTTAGATAAACAAATATTTGTTGCATTTTTCAGTAACTGATAACGCCAATACTAACTTTCAGTTGGTATTTAACCCTACGGCAATGTCGTGGGTTAGTGCTGCCACTTGGTGTAAAATGAAAAGTGGAAGTCTTGTCAGTCTTGATTCACAGCCAGCCATATTAATGGTGGAATGGTACAAGGACAACGACTGGAGTGCTCAATGGTATGTATTGTTTAACAGTACAATATTTCTTTTTTTTTATGAATACATGCCTATTGGTTTAATAAATCGTGTTAACAATATAGCATGCAATTTTGACTTTTGATTAAACAAGGCACAATTTTTTTTTCAGTTAACCAATTTGACTAATGAATAAACAGTAGACATCAGAATCATTGTATCCTCTATGCAAAAGAAATGTATGGTTTGTGTAAGTGAAACTTTAACTCACTCACACAATAAGTTTTCTTTTATCTTGTTTCCAGTGTCGCATATTTTTTTAAATGTTTGTGATTAATACCTCTCCTAGAGACGTAAGGATTGTGGCCGCTTTTTCTACTCAAATATACGAATGAAATGGTCACTTTAAAATGTGTTTCAAAGTCTTAAATGGTAGCAATCTTAGTTCTGTTTCCTTTTGTTTCAAGGGTAAGCAGATCCTTAAATTATATAAGTTGTTTCTTTATCAGGAAGGAATAAAAGAAGTTAGCAGTATCCTTTAACTTCACTTTCCGCTATATAGAAGATGTTCTCTCACTAAATAATACATAATTTGGAGACTATGTTGACCGCATCTATCCCATCAAACTTGAGATAAAGGATACAACAGATACAGTTAAGTCTGTCTCATATCTTGGCTTGCATCTAGAAATTGACAATGATGGTCCGTTTAAAACCAAACTTTACAACAAAAGAGATGACTTCAGCTGCCCAATTGTGAACTTCCCATTTCTATGTAGCAACATTCCAGCAGCGCCTGCATACGGAGTATATATCTCCCAGTTGATACGATATTCCAGGGCTTGTATTTCCTATCATGACTTCCTTGATAGAGGGTTGCTGCTCACAAGGGAGCTCTTAAACCAAGAGTTCCAAGCGGTGGAGTTGAAATCGTCCCATCGTAAATTTTACAGACGCCATCACGAATTGGCTGACTGTTTCACAGATGACAACGGATATGTTCTAATTATCGTAACTACAACCCTGTCCACTTTTTCCGAATGTGACTAACCGAATTAGACTTATCAACAGGTTTGTACTAACATTAGCAACACGACGGGTGACACATATGGAGCAGGATCTGCTTACCCTTCCGGAGCACCTGAGATCACCCCGGTTTTTGGTGCGGTTCGTGTTGTTCAATCCTCGGTTTTCTATGTTGTGTTTTGTGTAATGTTGTTTGTCTGTTTCTTTTTTAGCCATGTCTTAGTCAGTTTATTTTTCGACTTATGAGTTTGAATGTCTTTTTGGTTCCCTTCGCCTCTCTTCGTAAATTTAAATATCGAATAGCCCTTATCGTAGCCAATATGACAACAATCAGTTGTTTTGTTAAAATAAAATTGACATGATTAAATATAATAGTCATTTGTATATCTGGTGTATCTTGAACGACACCAGATGATAACGGGACACTGTTATGGGTGTGGCTTGATAGGAATTTCAGTAAAAAAATTAAAAGGGTAAATTATCCCGGCTAACACTCATAGAAATAAACCGTAATAGGTGTGGTTCGGAGAAAGCCCCTACCACTCATCTTCCTAACCGTCTTTGCGAATACACGGGCATTCCGTGTGTAGGAGTAAATTTCTTCCTATAATTTCCTATTTTCCAATATAACTAGCAATTGCATTGCCTCCTCCTAGGTAAATGAGAAACTGGGATGTAAGTCTAGTTGTATTCGTACAATTTTCAATCGTGTAACGGGTTTTTCTACAACGTTTTTGCTTGATCAAATCAAAATGGCTCCCATTCGAACGTGTCTTGTAGGTCTGCTCCAAAAATAATCATTCTGAATTGCCCTATTAGAATCGAAATAATTCGTTCATGTCATGCTAATTTTTACATGGGTATACATAATGATTGTGTTTGTCAACATTTTAAACTTCGATAACACTTGGTTTAACACTGCCACCAAATATTGACATGAGCATGATACACGTATGAAAGAATTATTTCTTCAAGCAAAATGATCAGATCAATAGGCATGAAACATTGATTGTGGTACAGCTTTTGAGATGCACAAACGAGAGTGCAACAATTCCCAATTATGTTCATCAATCCTTTTATTTTGTTAATTATCGATGATTAAATCGAAGGTGTTTATTTTCAAAAAAATATTGAAATAAAGATGTTTTAGATAATGAAATAGCTACCATCCTGTCAATAATTAAGTCATCAAAACCGTCAGTGATAAAAGAAAACCTGACTCGTAAGTTATTTACATACATGCAATAGATGGTTAGGATATCTAAATAAATTAACTTGAAAGAAAAAAAAAACAAAGAAGATTCCAGCATAAGAAAAAAAAACTCAAAGTGTGGTGACAGAAAATTAACATTCAATCAGCACTCAACATGAAAAATTCATGCATGTTGGAAATGTTCAATGTATTTTTAAATTACTTCCATCTCTGAGTGACAAATAAAAGGAATTACTAGCATGGCATGATTACGCTTTATGATGACTGTGATGATTTTGACATTTAACCATATTTTCCAATTCATGTCAAGACTTCAAATTATGTCATACCATTGAAAATAAATCTTGTAATGTAGTAATCAAAAATAGTTCAGAAACGTAATTTTACACCTTTAAGAGTTAAATCATAATTCGAATGATTGTATGCCGATTATTGTTTTTACCTGGCCTTTTCTTTGGTCACTTCGGTTTCTTCTGCATTCGTATTATCGCGTTTTTTTTTTTTTATTTGAAAAGACGGAATTACCAACAGTTACTGTTTCCTGAAACAAATGGTATATTCATCATGAAAGAGTTGTCAGTATTTTTTTTTCAAAATCAGTACTTCTTTCATCGATTTTGGTGTTATTGAATACGTAATACTACAAAAGCCAGTTTTTAATATTTAACATGCCAAGGGCAAATAACTTTTTGTTCAATTGTTAATTATGGCAAGTCGTATTGCTTGAAAAGTATCTCATCCTTTACATAATTACCGATTTATCCGTATCAGAATTGAAGCAATTAATGTCTGAAATCAGTCATGAACTAAAATTTAGTAATGCTGAAATATATATAACAGGGTCCACTGAAGTACTCTTGAAAGTCTAATCTCAGTGTTTACACATTATGACACGCCCTTGAAAAATAAACAAAGACTTGTACAATATAAAGTTTTATAAAAGACTCCAACTAAACCAAAGCCAAAAATGTTTAACATAGTTTTGAAAATCAAAAATAAATTACAGTTAAAAGTATTTATAACTGCATAATTACTAATGTTCATATCTGTAAAAATATACATTAACGATAATATTTTAAAAACTTTCCATTCTAGGACAAGCCATGCATGGACCGGACTTTACTCCTTTGGTGTTAATACAGGTTACTGGCAAGGAGCGTGTAACTCCTTAGACTTCTCATATTGGGCACCTGCACAGACATATAGTTCCAATTCACCTTGTACTTACATGGCCAGTAGTGATCTTCGTTGGTATTATGATGATTGCACAAGTCAACATCACGTCGTTTGTCAAGTTCCAAACGGTAATTAAACAAACTATTAATCAAATTATACCTACTAAAATTGAGTTGCTGTTTAATTCGATATCAAAAGTCAAAATTTGATGTTATTCAGTTTACTCATCTTTTCTGTGACTTACACAGTATAACTGAAATGTGAAATTTGAACACATATACTTTGATAGTATGTTTTGGTATACAGTAACTTGATATCGGCATGTAGAGACTGTGACAATACTGTTCTGTAATTACTTTATCAACGATTTCATTGCTTTTCCTACACAAATGTTCAACGTTTGGCTTTCTCGATATTTCATGTGACAAGGACACTGATTATCTCTTAATTTTCAAGAACGGATGTACCTCTCTATTTACGAGTTTATTGTAATGATGAATTTATCTATTACTGACGCTCATCCTACAATTTTGTAAATTAACAAATTTACCTAAAATTCACCTGCACTACAATAGGTAATGTGTCTTCTTCATACATGGAATTATAACTTTCAATATACAACAAAGGAAGTTTCAAGTTTTAGCTTAAGGTGTTTGCTGATCGAAAAATGTTTTGTTTGAGTGTATGTCCTATGTGTTTTAGTTGCGTGTTCGTCTGTTTTTATTGTTTATGTGAATGTAAAATGTTCGCATTTCATTTGCCTAGTACATTTACTAGCTTCTTGATTTGAAATTTAGTTCACCGTTATAGACCTTCCCCTTTTTTACAGATTGTCTGAGTCATCATTCTATTATTAGACACTCATGTCGTTATAACACTATAAGATAATATAACACAAAATCAGTAGCGACCGAGACAACCAATTATCTACATCCAAGATTTGTGCGAATGTTTCAGTCTTTCTTGTCTTCTGATTTGTATGTTTATGAAATATTCGTCATACAACTCGTGCACTTGACAAAACATATGCAATGTGGGTAGACTGGATAGGTATTAAATTACAGTAACACTATTAGTTCAGAAGTTATTTTGTAACAGCATTCGCGATTGATACTATTGTTGACATAGGAAAATCGTATATTTGTCTAATTGTCATACAAATAATACAAGATTCCAGATGTATTGCCTTTCTGTAGCTTAGTTGTCGTCCTTCTGATTGATAGTTTGGCTTCATTGCTAATCAACATTTTACTATTTGATTTCCATGATTTGATTTGCGTCAAAATCGAAATTTTGTTATTTTAACCCTTTCCTGCATTTGTTTTCAGGTCATTGTAATTTTGACGACCAAAACATGGAAGTCGACAAATCATTTGATTCACTGGATGCCGTATCTCTCCCTACATTAGACGATTGTAAAAATAGATGTGACGGTTATGTAGATGGGTCCAGTCAGTGTTGGGTTATTAAATACCATGCTTCTTCTGAGAACTGTTACATGTACGTTTCTGCTAACCCACTACAGTACTTATCCAACAAAGCAAACAGTAACAAAAATATCTTCTACAGTACTCGGGATTGTTTTTCGGGTGAGAACAAAAAATATTAATTTATATATATATATATCATCATTATTTAAGTTCGACTATATCACATGTCAAGATAAGAATCATTTGACATCTTACTGATGAAGGATATTAGTTATCCGAAATATTTAATATTTGTTCATGATTTTACTATTTGTTTGGTGATGTAGTACCCTTTTATACTTGCTTATTATATATATAAAGTTTGAAAATTAAACCCAACAGTGTGACATGTGTAAGAATTAGATTTTTATGCTGGCAAATTTTTGTTCCTCAACGGGATTTGAACTCACACCTTTGATACACTACAGCACCAATCGCTTAGTCTCATATACATCGTTCTAGACCACTATACCACATCCGCTATATATGTATAATTATAAATAATGGCAGCATAAGTTAACTACACATTTTCCTATTTTTTTTCATGAGCAGATAAGAAGAGAGGCGAAAGATACCAAAAGGACATTCAAGCTCATAAGTCGAAAATAAATTGACAACGACATGGCTAAAAAAGAAAAAGACCTACATACAAACAATAGTACACAAAACACAACATAGAAAACTAAAGACTGAGCAACACGAACCCAACCAAAAACTTGGAGTGATCTCGGGTGATCCGGAAGGGTAAGCAGATCCTACTCCACATGTGGCACCCGTCATGTTGCTCATGTTAGTACAAACCCGGTAATAAGTCTAATTTGGGAAAAGAGGACGGGATTGTAGTTACGACATTTTGGAACATATCCGCTATCATCTATGAAACGGATATTCCATAACGGTCAAACAACTCGTGATGGCGTCCGTAAAATTTACGAAGGTATGATTTCAACTTCACCACTTGGAACTCTTGATTTAATAGCTTCCTTGTGAGCATCAACCTTCTATCAAGGAAATCATTATAGGAAATACAAGCCCTGGAATATCGTATCAACTGGGAGATATATACTCCGTGTGCAGGCGCTGCTGGAATATTAGTACAAAGAAATGGAAAGTTCACAATTGGGAAGCTGAAATCATCTTTTTTGTCGTAAAGTTTTGTTTTCAACAGACCATCATTGTCAGTTCCTAGATGTAAGTCAAGGTATGAAGCAGACTTAACTGTATCTGTTGTATCCTTACCCCTTTAAAAATTGTTTTATCTAATGATTCAGACATTAATTCTTTTTGTATTGGAGTTTGAATTAGTTATTTCATGAAACAAAGGAAGGATTGTTTCATCTTATAAATTTACATAATTGTTTTTACTTAGTTCAAGACCGTATATTAGTAATTACTGCAAATGAACCATTTTTTCCCAAAACGCTCTTTGTTAAAAAAAAACATGTATTGGTATTTTGTCAAGAAACGAGAATATATGTTAATTGGTACTACATGTAACTTGTTCTTCTGTGTGCTTTGAATATGTTAATGGAACTAACTCTGTAAGATTCTTCTTTTCCTTCAAATTGAAAACACCTAAATAATGCAGTTCTCGTTTCCAAGCTATGCAATTATATTTATCATGAAGCATGACCAACAGATACATATTCTGATCACGTAAAAGCCATATAACGTTTGAGAAAAAGTTTGTTGTTCTTATTGCAGCGTCCATACTGCAAGAAATTGCACCAATTGCGTCTTTGGACATCTCAACACTAGTTGTAAACTGTATAGAAACAACAACGCGATATTTATCTACACCTCCGCCAGAAACATCTCAATACCAACTGTTAACAACTGGCACGGCCAAAAATTATAAAAGTTCATATGTCACAACAATAAAAAGTAAAGATACAACTAAGTCGGACACAACAATTAATATCGTAGACAAAACTACGACAGCCTCATCAATAAATCAAATGACGTCTGAAACAACAACAAATATGGAAAATACCGAATCCTTCGTCACTTTAGATAACGGAAACACTACCAGAACATCACAGAATTCCTTAAAAACAGAGCAACCAATAACTGCAGGATTTCTGAGTACTGACAAATTGAATAAATTCATTACTTTATCCGTCATAACGTCAGAATATTACTCAACTAAGGAAACTTTTAAATCAACATCGGAGACGGTTTCAAATACGGGTAATGTCGCTAGTAGTGATAACACTTCAGAGATGTACAGTTTCAATACAATTTTGTCTCCCTCTTCTGAAAACTGTTTATGTCCATGTGATTTTGTTTCCAAAAATATAACCGCTGAAATTTTACAAAGTCGTATAGAAGAACTTAAAAGAATTCTAATTGTTAACAAAACTTCTTTAAGTTCCTATATACGGAAACATACCAGTGCAAAAGATGAAAGACCTAGTTCGAAAGCCATTGGATCGATGGGAATTTTGCTACTAGCTGTGACGATATGTTTTATAGTGCTTATTGATTTGTCAACTTTTTGTCAATATATTCAGTGCAAACATTTGAAGAGAAAATAACTTAGAAGGAAAACGATGTATACGAATAGAGAATAAGTAAAATTATTACTTAAATCTAAAGGAACTTAATCAATTCTTTATAGAATTCATTAATGTTATTATAACAATATTATCAAACGATATAAATTTAGTTGGAGAACATTAAGTACAATGTATGTAAAACAACACGCTACATTGTTAATATAACATAATTAGAAAAAAAGAACTGAGAATCATGTACGGAATAAGCTGATGTGGGGTACACCACATTGACACAGAAACCCATTAACACAAAAAATCGACTAAATCTATATTTGTTAAACAAACAGTCTTCATTAAATCGCTCCTGGACTAGACAGAAACTTGAAAGATCTTTCTTTCACTAACAGCTTATATTCAAAGGAAAAAAACCTAAGATACAACCGAAGATTACAATTGACGAGCTGCCTTCATTTCGACTGACACATTCGCATATGACAGGGTTAAGTGACGAGGTTCCTTCCTTGGGCTTGACACATTAAGCACATGACATGGTTAACTGACGAGGTTCCTTCCTTGGGATTGAAACATCATCACATGACAGGGTTAACTGACGAGGTTCCTTCCTTGTGACTACGTATATATTATAAAATGACAGATCTTACCTAGCTTACCAGATTTCGTTCTTGAGACTGACAAATGACCAAATGACAGGGCTGCCTAGCTTACTAGATTTCTTCCTTTGGACTGACACATGAGCATATAACAGGGCTGCCTAGCTCACCATATTTTGTCCTTGAGACTGACACATGAGCATATGACAGGACTGCCTAGCTCACCACAATATGATAAACTGACCAGATTTCTTCCGTAAGACTGACACATTAGCAAATCGCAGGCATGGGTATTACAAAGATTACCATGTTTCTTTCTGAGGACTGATACTTTAGCATATAGTAAGTTAAGCTGATTATGTTTCGTCCTTAGGACTAGACACATTTGCAAATCGCAGGGTAAGCTGACCATTTTTCATCCTTGGGACTGACACATTAGCATATGATGTGGTTAGCTGACCAGGTTGTTTTCTTTAAAACTGACACATTAGCATACTACAAGGTTTCTCTTTCCGGGGACTGATGCATTAGCATATGACAGGGTCAGATGACAAGGTTTCTCTTTCCGGGGACTGTTACATTAGCATATGACAGGGTCAGATGACAAGGTTTCTCTTTCCGGAGACTGACACATTAGCATATGACAGGGTCAAATGACAAGGTTTCTCTTTCCGGGGACTGACACATTAGCATATGACAGGGTCAGATGACAAGGTTTCTCTTTCCGGGGACTGACGCATTAGCATATGACAGGGTCAGATGACAACGTTTCTCTTTCCGGGGACTGATGCATTTGCATATGACAGGGTCAGATGACAAGGTTTCTCTTTCCGGGGACTGACGCATTAGCATATGACAGGGTTTCTCTTTCCGGGGACTGACACATTAGCATATGACAGGGTCAGATTATAAGGATTATCTTTCTTGGGACTGTCATATTAGCGGGTTAGCTTCTAGGTTTGTTACTAGAGGCTTCCATATATCAACATATGGCGGGTTATCGGCGAGGTTTCTTACTTGAGGCTTCCATAAATCAACACATGGCGCGGGGTTATCGGCGAGGTTTCTTACTTGAGGCTTCCATAAATCAACACATGGCGTGGGGTTAGCGACGAGGTTTCGTGTTTGAGACTGCCCTATATTAGCACACGACAAAGGTTTCTTTATTTAGTATTTACACATTAGCAAATGACATGGATAGCTGACGCTTCCTTGGGAATGTTAATTAGCACATGGCAGGATAAAACGGTTTCAAGCAGTCAATCGTCTCCCTTTTTATTTCGATAAGTGCAAAAACAAAAAAATAAATGGAAGAACATTTACAATATATAATATTGGTTCAATAGAAGATAAAAGACAGTACCAAGTTAAACAACAAATACATAATGCCGTATCTCAGTTACTTATTTTTAAACAAGTTCAAAATACGAAATCTCAAGGTATATAATTAACGACAATGTATACTCTTAGTCTTGTATGGGCCGCTGTACTTTAAAGTAGATTTATGACAGCCACATGTATGAAAGTTGCAGATTTAACTTAATGTTGATTGTCAGTCTTTATCAATTTGTTTACAGAATTTCACTACAAAAAAAGAAAAAGATGAGGCAAGTTTTGCGTATTTCAATAAAAGTCGGAAATTTTTATTGAGTTTACATATAGATCAGGAGTCGTCATAATAAGTCGAGGAGCTCATAAAGAATTGAAGGCAATCACTGTTTTTTTTCTCTAACAAAGTAAAGTATGATCACTCAATGCAATATTGGACTGCTTCAAATTTTATTTTACAATTCAACAGCATGTTTAATTTCGTCCATCGTGACAGATCTCCAGCAATCAATTTTGTATTCAACTTCCTAGAAAGAAGGTGACATCTAGTTCATAAGCCTCTGGCCTTTTTTAGTCTTGTATGTTTTTAATTTTAGTTCATTTATATGTTTTGGAGTTTAGTGTGACGTCCATTTTCATTGAACTAGTACACATTTTTGTTTAGGGGCCAGCTGAAGCCCGCCTCCGGGTGCGGGATTTTCTCGCTGTGTTGAAGACCCATTGGGCTGTTTTCTGCTCTTTTGTCGGGTTGTTGTCTCTTTGACACATTCCCCATTTCCATTCTCAATTTTATTTTATGAACATGTATTGTACTTTACCTTATTGTATAAACAGAAAATGTTTGCTTCCTTTTATTGACACTAACTTATGAAAGATGTACACCATGAATAAAATCTATTACAATGTAAACAATCTATTGACATACTATGAGCCAAAGAATATCTGCATTCTTAACCATTTAAGTTAATACGAGAATCGAATCCACCTTTTTTTTGTCACTAAAAGTTCCCGTTAAAGTCAGAAGTGTAAATAATTAATTAATCTAAAATTCCATTATATCTATAATATTACATTCTATGTTTTATTCATTGATTAAAAGAACAACAGAATTCAGGTAAGGTCAGCAACTTTTATTGACTTTTCACTCGATTGGAAAATAAATTCAGAGTAAACAGCGTGCCAAAGACAAAAGACGTCTACGGAATCAGCTTATCCTGTTCCTTATAGAACTATATTTTACAGCAACTGATCTTTAAAATAAAGGAAGACCAGTTATTACGTAATTTATCGGATAGGAAGAAGCATATTTATTGTGAATGGCATCTTGCATCTGATCTTGTCAACTACGATTTTTCCCGTGTGTGTGTGTGTGTGTGAATGTTTATCTACTCGTATTCATTTTCGTTGATTATTAGATATACTTTGTGACATTGCTTCCATTTTAAAACATACTACTTTCAAGACTAGGTTTAATCACAAAATATATTCTTTCTTACAAAATTAAGTGCCTTTATATATTTCTTTTCTTTAATGTTCAGTCTGCTTTATGTAGTGATATCTTATAACAACTCTTTCCAATGGAGGCCCGTTTGGCTGTATATAAATCCGACGCAGCGCTCGACTTGATTAGAAATGTAAAATTAAATACATGTACCTATGTGAAAGATAATCAGGCTCTCGGAAGTATAAACAATTCAACTTCTTTTGCTGTCCGTTTGGTTTTAATTAGTAGAAAGTACAAACAAACAGTCCGTCCGTTTGTCTGTGCGGGATGCATATATACAAAGTTTTGTCAATTAAGCTGTGTGGAGAGTGTAATCTGTGTGGATGTGTGAGATGTACAAACACACAGTCTCGTCTGTTTAACTGTGTGGGATGTACAAATACACACTATCGTCTGTTTGGATGTGTTGGATGTACAAATACACAATCTCGTCTGTTAGACTGTGAAGTACAAATACCCATTCTCGTCTGTTTGGCTGTGAGGGATGTACAAAAATACATGCAGTCTTGTCTGTTTGTTTTCGTGAGATGTACAAAACACTGTCTCGTCTGTTAAGTTGTGTGGGATGTACAAATACATAGATTCGTATGTTTGGCTGTATTGGATGTACAGTTACTCAGTATCGTCTGCCAAACTGTGTGGGATGTACAAATACACACTATCGTCTGGTTGGATGTACAAATACACAGTCTCGATCGTCTGTTTGACTGTATGAGATGTTGTACAAATACACAGTATCGTCAGTTTGGATGTGCTGGATGTACATATACACAATGTCGTCAGTTTGTTCGTTCGTGATGTACAAAAACACAGTATTGTCAGTTCGGCTGTGTAGGATGTACACAGTCTCGTTAGTTTGATCGTTCGTGATGTACAAACATACAGTCTTGTCTTTTTGGCTGTGTGAGATGTACAATTCCACAGTCTGGTCTGTTTGGCTGTGTGGAATGTACAATTACACAGTCTGGTCATTTTGGTCGTTCGTGATGTACAAATACACAGTCTTGTATTAATATTGTCTGTTTGGCTGTGTGAGATGTGCAATTACACAGTCTGGTCTGTTTGCATGTGTGGAATGTACAATTATACAGCTTCGTCAGTTTGGTCGTTCTTATTGTACAAATACAAAGTCTTGTCAGTTCAGCTGTGTTCTGGTCTGTTTGCATGTGTGGAATTTCAGTTACACAGTTTCGCCAGTTTGGTCGTTCTTGTACAAATATAGTCTTGTCAGTTCAGCTGTGTAGGATGTACAAATACACAGTCTCGACTGTTTAGTCGTTCGTGATGTACAAATACACAGTCTCGTCTGTTTGCATTGTCTATCTGAGATGTACAATTTCACAGTCTGATCTGTTTGGCTGTGTGGAATGTACAATTTTACATTTTGTCAGTTTGGTCGTTCTTGGTGTACAAATACACAGTCTTGTCAGATTGGCTGCGCTGACGGTACAATCACTTGTTCCAATGAGGGTCGTTTAGAATGTTTCCAAAATAAAGTAACCAATACATGATATTCCGAATATTCATTAATGTTAAATTAGTACATTTACTATTACCCTTTTTATTATTGTAAACAGAAATATAACAAACAAACAAAAAACAACAAAAAAATCTCTTTGGAAAACGACGATTAGATGAAGAAATTGCAAAACCAAATTTTCGATTAAAGATTCAGATTTGTATTCTAAACTAACAAAGTAACTTGCTTCCTTATATGTAAATTTGAATGATTTATAAATTTCCTTAATGTTTTATGACAAAATTCGTACATAAAAGAAGTAAGAGCCTGTTTACATGTACTATTACTGTTGTCTTAAATAAAGTGTATAGTTATCAAATCATTGTGAGGATATAGCAATACAAAGAC